CAATACGAACTTCCACCCGCCCTGCAACGTACAAAATAATATAAAGATACTTTACGGAGGGTCAGCTTAATTTAATCTTATACTAACTGCTGCAGATAACATTTAGGTAAGAACCTAATAAATTAAAATACATTTTTTTAATATACAATAAACTTACATAATAAGCAGCTGTAGGTAGGATCAGAGAGACAAACGCGTTGACAGACACGGAGATTGTGATAAGGACCTTGCCTCCGAATCGCTTGGCCAGCTCACCAGAGGGCAGCATGAGCAGCACGTAGCCCCAGAAGAATGACGACAAAATCATCGACTGCATGCTGTAGCTCCAATCGAAATGCTGAAAAAGTACAGGGTTTGAGATTACAAAAAGTCATAAATATTATTCAAAATTTTAAATTTGTTCGTCATTTTGTAACATTTTTGGTTAAATTTACAATCTATCGGAAAGGTTTAGTTTTATGTAGTACTGTCTATTATTACTATCTTTGAATAATTCCACTGTAGGAAATTTTATTAATACAATAAATTAATGTGCAGCGATAAATCTGTGTGTCATGACCTGATCAAGCTCACAGCCACACACATTACTGTCGAAGATACGGAGAATATGTTAAATTATTTAATTGCCTTCAGTATGTAAAATTACATCACCATTCATCACATAATTGTCTGTATTGTGTCTCGATATAATAGGTCGATGAACATCATGTCCGCATTGGATACAGCTACTGCCCGATACTTCGTTCGGCTGTAAATTTTGAAGTGTTCGCGTGTGAACGACCACATTGCAATGAACGCAGATGATGATTTTATAAAGTTAAGCAATGTAATTCTAGACAAAATAAAACTATATTTAATATATTATCCTGGCTTATCTCAGTGAGATTATATCAAAAAAGATTTAGTAGATAACTAATCTGTCCAGGCATCATGGAAAAAACTGCATTTGATCGTGATCACGATTGCAAGATTCATCTAAAAATTGCATGAAAGAAACGTGATCGGAAAAGGAAAACATCTTATCCTAAACAAAAATAAACCGGTTTTTAATTATTTTTTGTACTGTACACCTTTACTTACGTCGTCCTTGGTGGTGTCAGTCATGTCCACTATGGCCATGC